TCTCTGATCCTGGCTACAAATCTGTCCACCTTGTTGTTGTAGAATTTGAATCTAAATCTGGCATCCCCCAGTGGGTGACAGATGTTCCAGTACCCTTTAGGGTGAAGAGACTATTCCACCACATACAATCACTGACAACTTAAGTCCACCTGCCAAAGAAGTGGAGCCAAGAGCACTAGCAGGGGACCCCAGCAGAGACGAATCGGGGCTGCTCTGTGGAAAAACCTTGCACAGAGCAGGTATGTATGACTTGTTTATTATTTAAAACAAATAAATAAGTTTTACAACCACTTGCCCTTCAGAGCATTTACCCCCCTTCCTGACCAGGCCATTTTTTGCGTTACGGCGCTAAGTTACTTTAACTGACAATTGCGCAGCCATGCAATGCTGCACCCAAATTAAATTTATGTCCTTTTTTCCCACGAATAGAGCTTTCTTTTGTGGGTATTTGATCGCGTGTGCGGTTTTTATTTTTTGCACTAAACAAAAAAAAAAGACTGACAATTTTGAGAAATAAAAAAACATAATATTTTTGACTTTTGTTATTAAACATGTCCAGTAAAATTTTTATTTATTTTTTTAAAAATCAAACGTCATAAATTTAGGCCAAAATGTATTCTGCTACATGTCTTTGCTAAAAAAAATCCCAGTATGTGTAAATTAATTGGTTTATGTGAAAGTTATGGCATTTATAAATGGCGATATATATACACTGGGATTTTTTTTTTATTACTAGTAATGGCGGCGATCAGCGACTTATAGTGGGACTGCGGCTGGCATTCTAACATTGGGAGGGAACTGACTTGGCGCAATTGACACCCCCGGTGACACCAATACAGTGATCAGAGCTAATAAAACGCACTGACACTGTACTAATGGCACTGGGCAGGAAGGGGTTAACATGTGGGGTGATCAAAGGGTTAACTGTGTGCGTTTTACTGTTGGCGGTGTTAGTGCTATGCAGAGCCATGCAAAGCAGTGTGCTGGAGCTGACAGGGGAGAGAACTGTATTGTTTTATATACAGTTCTCTCCCTCCATCGGTAATGCTCCACGATCATCGGGTGCCAGCGATTATTCACTGGCCTAGACCGCAAATAGTGGCACGGGGTAGGGCTCACGCATGCCCCCTACCCAGAAATGCGAAATCACGTATATATACGTGATTTTGCACACCCCCTGTTGCAGTATATCTGCTATAGGGCAGCGGAAAAGCGGATAATACTGAATAGTCTTCACATCAAAGGTGGCTTGGGCTCCATCCAATCACTTTCATATGATTGTGCTTTGGACCAATCATAGATTCTTCAATAATAATGAATGGGAGTATATTGGATAAGAATGAGAAACCCGACTAGAAAGACTAGAGGCGGAGACCTGACAGACAGATAAACCTGGATAAGCTTGTTCGTTATCTACCAAGTTGATAATGGCTTCAACTTCTTGTCTTTGGTTCCATAGGTATTTGTCTTTTATGGTGCACAGGTTTTATTATTTGATATCATTGAGTGTTGCTGTTAATCTGTGTGAATTTTATGCCTCTAAAGCAGGGGTGTCAAACTCCATTTCATCACAGGCCGCATCAGAATTAGGGTTGCTCTCAAAGGGTAGGTTGTATCTGTAAGACTAGATGTCCGTAGCATCCTGCCCTCCCTTACATTAGATGTCAAGAATCCCCAACACTCCCTTACATCACGTTGCACCCCCCTTTACCATGTACTGCTGCTGGGAAGAAGCTGTGGGCAGAGCTGGGAAGCAGAATGTGCAGGGTCTGGAGGAGGACCAGAGGGCTGTAGTCAGCTGTTGGAGCCTGCTGAAAGTGGAGACCAGGGGAGGTGGAGATGAGGCAATGCTGTGGCACCAGACAAGAGCGGGATCTGCAGAAGTTCTGTTTTTCTCTCTGCTGCTGACTGATGAGACGAGGGGGGGGGGGGGGGGGGACATAGATGAGCCTTTTCACAGCTGCGTGGAGAAGAGCAGGATCTGGCAGGAGTTCTGTCGCCCTCTCTGCTTCCGACTGCTGAGACAAGGTGGGGGTGGAGATGAGGGGGAGTACCACAGCTGCAAGAGAGGTGCAAGGGAAATATAATATGGCCTGGCGGGCCGGAAAAAGTGTGTGTGTTGATTAGCAATGTTAATATTATTAATTAGTGTCCCAATTATTTGCTTAATCACCCCAATTTCTTACAAGAGATATCCTTAAGAAAAAGGTACATGGGTACATGGCCACAAACTGAGGGAGCTGGTCGTATGCAGTCATCACAATGAGCTGTAGAGGCCTGGAGTGAAACTGGCAGGACACTACCGCCTCAAATGAGGCCCAAAACCCTCATGCAAAAATCACAGGGAGCTGGCTGACCACTTCAATACCAGACACTTTCACCCCCTTCCTTTTTTGGCAGTATTTAATTACCACTGGGTTTATTATTTTTTGCTATGTAAGTGAAAATAATACCGAAAAGTTTGAAACCCCCCCCCCCCCCCCCCCCCCACCTTTTTCTAAGTTTCAGTTATGAAATTGTACAAATCTTTCTTCATAAATTTAGGCCAAAATGTATTCTGCTGCATTCATTTGTGTGAATGTTACATTCTACAAACTATGGTATATACAGTACAGTACATTTGAAAATTGATCAGTCCATGTACTGACTGCCTATCTCAATTCTTGAGGCTCTAAAATGCCAGGACAGTACAAATACCCTCCAAATGACATCTTCTGTAAACAGTCCAAAGTATTTAGTTAAAGGCATGATGAGTTTAATGAAGTTGTAATTTTTGTCACAATTTTTTGGAAATGAACTAGAATTTTCCTTTTTATACTTTTTTTTTTTTTTTTTTAATTATTTCGACCAGAGCAGTGCAGTGTTACCATAATGACACTATACTACCCTAAGAAGTGATCAGGATTATCTTTTCCATTATGATTTCTTATAACAGTGATGATCATGGCTAATTGGCCGTTGTAATTGGCCACAGCTATCACATGGTACAGATGCACTGTGATTAGCCCTGTCTGTACCATGTGATCACTGTGACCAATCACAGAGATCATTACAAAAAACTACACAATGAATACCTATGAATGAAACTCATTCATTGTGTACAACTGTCATGGGATTGCTGTGATTGGTTACAGCAATCAAACGATACCGGGATCGGCTCAGTACAATAATTTGCGTTTCCTAGACCTTTGCAATATCGTGTGACATAAAAAATTGGAACTACCACCATTTTATTCTCTAGGGTGTCTGCTTTCAGAAAATATATAATATTTTTGTGTAATCTTCAGGCCTATAATGATTTTTTAAACGCGTGCAAAAAAAATGCAAAAACGACTGGCAGCGAAAGGGTAAAAGAGCGACTCGGGCCTTCTGTCCACTGAGTGTTTGAAGACCGGGATATCCTAAACGGCAACAGTAAGAAATCGATTGAGGCAGAAAACAGCAAAATCTATCACAGCCACTTTTCGTGGCAGGCCTCCTCTGGGTACTGCTGCACAAACCTATTGGGAGGTGTATACATTTTATCTGACCTCACACAGCACATCCCTAGGAAAGGACTCCATATTGGTGACCTTAAGTCCAGCAGTTGATGAAGGGTCTAACCTTAGCATAAAGATTAGGAGAGATTGACTGTTCAGCCTCCTGTAAGGAGTGCTCCGACCCCAAGGTTTCACTTGTCCATTTCTTCCTAGTTTATATCAGGAAACAATGCTGCCAACAGGAAAGAGTTGGACAAAGACTCTGCAGGGGACACCAATTGGGTCTATTAAGCCTCGACCATTACCTAGCCTCTATTGATGCAGTGTCCTTACCTGTTAGGTCTGCCATAGAGGCTGCGAAATTCCTCTCAAGTTAAAAAGGAGGAATTCATAGTAGGGGAGACACCCAAGGCCCTGAAGAAGTCACGTGGTAGCACGACGCAACGCATCAGACTAGAGCGTGGTGACGTCATTAAGCATGGACGGCAGTCACCATCTTTGGACTCCTTGAATGTACACCTTAACTGTGGGATTACACAGTACCAGGGGCAGACTGACAACTCATGGGGCCCCAGGCAATAGGGGATCATGGGGCCCGTGTCCTTGCCCAAACTCAAAAAAGCCTATGAAAAAGGTACCAGGGGCATCTCATGGGGCCCCCTACTGAACCGGGCCCTTGGGCATTGCCCAAGTTTCCAAATGGTCAGTCCACCCCTGCACAGTACATGTATTTGTACATGGGTCTGTGCCCGTTTTAAAGTGTGGGTAACCTTTTGGCATTGTGGATTTCCTTAGTAAATTAAAAAAATACTACACTATCGAAGTTCTCTCTTTGACTTCTTTAATATGAGCCACTGAAGATTCCCTTAAAGGTGTTTGACCATGTATTGATTGAATATGGTGGGAGCTGATCCTCCAGCCAGAGGGAGAAATCCATAATGGCTATTATGATTGATGCAATAAATAGAAATCTTAATCCATCATCCATGTCTTATTTAAACTGAATTGCAGCCAAATTATCCCCCCTCTTCCTCAATAAAGCAGAACCTCTGTCCAGAAACCACAGCACTAATTTTCTTTTATGTCCCTTCTCATCTTTACATGCCAGGCTGTGTGAGCAACCATCTCTAAAGTAAGCAGAAATCCCATCTATGAAAGCAGTCACTCAATTCCCCAAGTAGATTTCAACCTCTCCTCCTGTGCTGGTGAGTTACCCAAGATTAGGTTACAGTTCACTTTGCCCTGAATGCTAGGACTATACGTCATTAGCAAAAAGTGAGTGGTCAGGTGACAGTTTAGACATAAATATCACCTTCTGGAGGTGTTTCTAAGTTAGTTGCATAGCTTCTATCATGAAGAGCACACCCACCCTCCAACTGCAATGTTCCAAGACTGGAAACTGGCACATGAAATAAGTCAATAGGGCAGCTTCCATTCATATCTGTTAAAACCTACAAATAGTATGAAGTTTTCACATAAATACAATATTTACAGTATGTTGCCAAGTTCAAATATTTATCATTAGATATGACACAGAATCCCAATCACTAACCTTTCAATACTGCTAAAAGTATACTGTGAGCCTTGTTTCGTCTCTATTTCAAAATCAAAGGATCGTGTTGTTGTGGTTCCACGGGCAAAATTTACACACTGCACCTCATCAAACCGGATATGAACTGGTGGTTTGTGGACATATATAAAACCTCGTTCAAGAGGATATAGCAGTCCTGAGCTGGCTTTGTAGGAACATGTGATGCACTGAGCACCAGAGTGCCTAAAAAAAAGAAAAAAATTACAATTACTGCATTTCACTGTAATTGCAAACACAAAGCATACATACAGTATAATTCTAATCAAATGACCCACAAATACAGCAGGTAAAAAAAGATCTTTTATTAAGGGTCACAAACAAATGTATACATGTAAATGTTTCAAAAGATCTGATTTTAACAAACAAGGTTGGGTTGTGGGATTAGGATCAAAAGGGCACATAGAAAACAACTGTTTCCTATGTGGCCCGATCAAAAACACAACAGTGGTGATGTCCAGTGCCCTACAGAAAAATGCAAACATGATGCATTTTCCCGCTGTGCATCGCAAAAACAAAGTATTTTAGAACACAGCAAAGTGTGGAGCAAGAAAAACAGGCTACAGAAAAAATAAAACAAACATCCAGAAGAGAATCCAGAGAAAATAAAAGCACTACAACTAAAATACTATGTACCTCATGTTAATTTTAAATCCCTTCCTCCCCCCCACTTTAAATAGTTTGTTTGCACCAAGGTAGCCAGAACAAACCTTTTCCATTAAATATCGATGCAATCGCTGTGTGTGCTATAAAATACAGTAGTAGCATTAGCTACATACAGTAAGTGGTGCTACTTCCCGTCTACTGCCAAAAGTAAAGAATCAGGCTATCAATGAATGCTAGGCTTCCACTGACTGACCGAGGTGGAGAGGTAGGGAGATTACGTCACAATTTTCACTTCTGCTAATCAGAGGAAGTCTTGTATTAAATGATAAAAATACAAGGCTTCTCCTGCATGGTGAAGAAACACTCAGCCTGACATGCTTTAATTCCCAACACTTTTGTACTGCTGCCAGAACAATGCACCACTTACTGTAAGTAGCTAATATTGCTACAGTATATTACAGGACACATAGCATCTGCGTCATTATGTAATGAAACTAAAAGGAATTTTGACTTAACTGTAAATTCTATATTGTGGGGTATAGTATAGGACACAGACTGTGGGTTATAGCATAGTACTCAGATTTATTATAGGCATCCCCCTATAACCCCAATTCATGAGTCCTCAGTTTTGTAGCAAGCTATACAGAGTAACCCAGGAATAGAAGGGAGGGTGCCATGTACTATAATCCAAGATATGAGATTTACAGGTAGGTCAAAATACTTTTTTTCTTAATAGTACAGTACACAGGCTATAGACTCTGCGATGTTACCAAGCAATGAATGAGACGGATATGCAACAACTAGACAAATAAAAATGTGCCAACGGGCCCAACAATAGCAAGGGTCAACAGGCCCAACTTTGGAGTGCTGCTGCAAAAACTTTGTGTACTGAAAGCTGCATCAGCAGAAGACTGGATGTCCATCTGCTAGAACTTTGAAACAGTAAGAAGAGAGGAACAGGTGGTAGCCTTACAAATCCTGAGCAACACAGGATTGATGTTGAAATGCCCAGGAACTCCCACCAATCTGGAGGAGTGAGCAAATAAAAGTGCAGGAGGAGCCTTGTCTTTCAGAGTGTAAGTGCTTGAGAGGAGTTGCTTTATCAATGTAGTGGTGGTGGATTTTGAAGCAAGATGTCTCTTGTGAGGTCTTGAGGGTGGGATGAATAGGATGTGGCTCGGAGGTAGTCTAATGGCTATGACCGCATCCAGGCAGTGAAAAGCAATCTTCTTTGGGTACTTGGCAATAGAGCAAAAAGTGGAGAGGACTAGGTCTTCATTAACAGACAAAGCTTAAACCTGTCCTCTTAAGGGCAAGTGTTGGACAAGTCTTGATTGTAGGAAGGCCAGAATGCGAGGCACAGAGTAATCCCTAGGATTGAAGTACATGTGTTCACAACAGGCAACAAAATGATCTCCAGGTATAATATATCTTTCTTAAAGTAGTTTTTTTCCCAAGTGGAATGAGACTCAGGACCCCTCTCAAGACCTGGGTTTCAGTAGCCATGCCATTAAAGCCAGTAACTGAGAATGATGACGAAATAGGGGGCCCCGAGACAACAAATCTGGCCTGTTGGGAAGAGCCCAGGGGCCGTCCTCTTGCAGTCCGAGTATATCTGCATACCAGGTTCCTTTGGGCCAGTTTGGAGCAATGAAATCCACCAGGTTCTTCTCTTGCTCTATTTTGTGAGGCAAAATTTGCACTGGAGGAAAGGCATAAATTAGCCTAAACGGAGTACAGGAAATAATCAGAACATCCGATGCCAGTGTTAGATGATCCTTGGTCTTGGGCACAAACAGCGGTAACATTGTGGTTGAATCTGGAGGCCAGGATATCCAAGTCCAGCGTCCCACATCTCCTGACAGATTAAGGTGAAGAGCCCATTCGCCTTGGTCCAGACAGTGATGACAGACTTAAATCTATCTTCTAATTTTTCACTCCTGGGATGTGGACTGCAGAGATAGCTGGGCAGCATTTCTCCATCCATGAGATGTTATGATTTGCTTTCATCAAGGTCACCATGAGACCCAGTATTCGCATGGAGAATCTAAATTCCAAAGCATAAGAACTAAGACTAAGCAGCTTGTTTTCTGGAAGGAAGGCTTTTGCTTGGGCAGTGTCCAAAAGGGAGAGGAGTCCTTCAGAAGGCCATCTAGATAACCTGTGACCTGGATGCCCTGAGTTCATAAGAGAAAAAAAAAATGCATGTACCATTCTAATAATCAGAGCACAAGATAGGCCAAAATGCAGTGTAACAAACTGGAAGAAATTGTCTCTGACTGAAAAGTGCAGAAAGCGCTGAAGGAGTGGATAGATGGAAATCCTTTGGATGTGTATGGATGCCAAGTTTTCCCCTTGTTTCAGTGGGCAATATTTGACCGGGCAGATTCAATGCAAAATTTTGGAATTTTTAGGCATTTGTTTAGAAATTTTAAATCAAGGATAGGACAAAGATTAGGAATAGAGTCCTCTGAACCTGCCCTGTAGAAGTACTGGAAAAACTACTCTCTGGGTAAGGAGCCGATTTAGTGTGCGCTGCAAAGTTGACTGTACTTTTGCAGATTTGGGTTTGTTTGAAGGAAGAAAGGTGTACCTTCATTGGGAAGAAGGCTTGGGGGAAAACTTGTGTTCCCAATCTTGCGCCAAGGGGCTGAGATTTGGCTTAGAGGGGGGGTGAGGATGGGAGTCTACCGTTGTGAAAGAAGAATACATCTTGAAAGTGATTTTAAAGCTTCAGTATTTTTTTTTTTTAAATTTAAAAAACATGTTATGCAATGGTTTAGCACAGAGCAGCCCCGATCCTGTTCTTCTCAAGGTGCCTGGCATCAAGAACCCAGGCAGTGTTTTTCCTTCATGCATAGAATGCATGAAGGTTTAAAAAAAAAAAAAAAAAAAAAAAAAAAAAAAAACCTTCTGCCTTTACAACCACTTTAATTAATTTGTCAAGTGCCTCACCATCTGTGCAAGGCATATTTCACAGGCGGCTCAGCTGACCAAGTTTTGAGCCTCAAGATTCTGCACATGTGAATAGAAATAAGAGCCATTCTGGAGAACGGAGTCATAACTTGTTCTACGGCATTAAAACAAAAGAGCAAGGCAAACTGACCAGTTAGTTACACTCCTGGTGGGGTATGCTTCCCTGAAGAGATGGGTTTTTAGGGTGCGCCTGAAGGTGAGGGTAGGTGACAGTCTGATGGATTGGGGTAGGGAGTTCCAGAGGATGGGGGAAGTCCTGGAGAAGTCCTGCAGTCGGGCGTGGGAGGAGACTAGGGAGCTGGAGAGTAGGAAGTCCTGTGAGGAGCGAAGGGCACGGGTAGGGTGGTATTTGGGTATCAGGTCGGTTAGGTAGTTTGGGGCAGCGTTGTGAATGGCTTTGTATGTCAGAGTTAGTAGTTTGAATTTAATGCGTTGGGCAATCGGGAGCCAGTGAAGGGATTGGCAGAGGGGGGTGGCAGAAGTGGAGCGGTTGGTGAGGTGGATGAGTCTAGCCGCTGAGTTCAGGATAGACTGGAGTGGGGATAGCATTTTTTTGGGTAGGCCAGTGAGAAGGGAGTTGCATTAGTCCAGGCGTGAGATAATGAGGGAGTGTACGAGTTGTTTAGTAGTGTCTGGGGTGAGGAACGTACGTATCTTGAAGATGTTGCGAAGGTGGAGCCTGCATGACTTTGATAGTGATTGGACATGAGGTTGGAAGAAAAGGTTCAAGTGCAGGGTGACACCCAGGATTTTGGCGTGTGGGGTGGGATTGATGGTGGCGTTGCTAGTCGTGATGGAGAGGATGGGGGGGAAACTAGGAGCTCGGTTTTGGACAGGTTTAACTTGAGGAAAAGGAGCAACATCCAGTCTGATATGTCGTTCAGGAGGTGGGCGATGCGGGAGGAGAGTGAGGGGGTGAGTTGAGGGGTGGAGAGGTAAATTTGTGTGTCGTCGGCATAGAGGTGATACTTTAATATCAATAGTTGATAACACTCCATTTTCAGAATAACTCACCCTTGAAAATTTCCAGGTACAGTGATCTTTCGGTTCACCAGTGCCTTCATGACACGACTAACCATCTCATACAGACAACCAGACATGTTCTTCTTCAACTTTCCTTCAAAACGCTTCTCAACTTCCTCCCTGGAGGTCAAAAATAATTTAAATTAGGCACGAAAAAAATGTATATGTAGTGGCTGCATTAGATTTATTTTAGGTTTTTTTTCTGTGCTCACCTGGTGATCTGACCAGTAACACCCCTCCCCACAATTTATCTATATGACCTAATAAATATTTTCTATATAAGGAGTTATATGTTGGATGTTTTCTTGTGGGTGTCATAAAATCCCAACAGTTGGTTCTGACATGTCATAGATTACATTCAAGTCACACCTGATGCATTTAAAAAAAAAAACAACAAATCTAGGACAAGAGGTATCTTTAAACTGTTGCACATACTAGATACTGTACTGTTAGTAAACAAGCTAAAACTCCATGTGTTTATTTTTTTTTTTTCTTGAAAAGGATATGGATGGTCAGAACCTCATGTTATTACAGACTCCCAATTTTAGAGACTTGCATGTATTTCCTGTCCTGATAACAACTGCCTTCATGTCAGAAAGGGAGCCTCAATCTCAACCCTAATTGTTAGCAAGTGGCAACAGTAATGTGACCATTATGTGTTGCAGAAAGACCTATTAAATGTTTGATTTTTCCCTCTTTCTGTCCCAACAGTAACTAAAACCAAAGAAGCAAGGGTAAATCTTACTCATATAGGAAGACATTGATGAAAAAAAAAACAAAACAAAAAAAACAACCAAACAACCACACACAAAAACCTAGTGGATTTTCTAATTCTATGCCACGCATACTAAAGCACAAATTTTATACTTTCTGTACATAAAGTTTCTTGATGTTCATTAAAATTGTATTAAACCTTATATAGCAGCCCACCAATTCTTAGATGTGGTGACTGCCTGGGTTTCCCTTTTTAGGCTTTCTTCTATTTTCACCTGGTGATCCAGCCAGTAGGTCTTTTTCAAAAGAATAAGCGGTCTTGCAGATTGTATCAGTTACAGGGAAAAGACAAACCATTTACCACTGACAGAGGTGTTTATAATGATCAGCTTTTATGTGAAACCTTTATTCCCAAAAGGAAAAAAAAAGTTTGCTGTAACGGATTATAAAGTATTAGCTAAGAGTTTGGCTTCAATTTGTTAGTGTATTTAAATCTGCTAGTAAATCTAACATTCCCCAGGCTGTCCAAAGGTGCCCCGAGCTACTTCATCCAGAGTGGGGCCACTCTAATACAGGAGGTGTGTTACCGGCCAGATCACCAGGTGAAAACAAAGGGGAAAAAAGCCTAAAGCAAAAAATAACGCAGCCACCACATTAATGATTGGTAAGCCGCAATAATCACCATTTTTGGTTTTGGGTTTAATACCACTTAAAAGGGACTCAGGATGCTCAGGCATTTTTTCTTCTTATTTTCATCTGGTAATCTGGCCAGTAAGAACTCATTCACGGGCAGAAAAAAAAAAGCTGTGTTTAGATGCATACAGCAGATAGTTTTGTATGCATCTAAACTAGGGTTGCACTGAAACTGAGCATTTGCACTAATGCAAATGCTCAGATACCTAAAACCGATATCTTTGTAGTGCAATTGGAACCCATACACAAAACAAATGGAATAAAATCGCACTGCAAAGAATTGCATGTGATTTGAATAGGAATGTGGTGCAATCTTTCTGAATCTTATGCGTTTTCCCTGCTGGTCCGACGTGATTTGAGTCGTACAAAATTAATGGTTCAAAATCGCACCACACCTGCACGAAAACTGCATGTGATTCAGACAGGCATCGCACCGCATTTCTTTTCAAATGCCATGTGATTCTTTGCAGTGCAATTTGAGCACATCCATTTTTGCTCAAATCGCACCGCAAAGGTATCAGTAATTAGTATCAGAACGTACTTGAGTACAAGTATCGGTACTTTTGATCACCAATAAAAAAACATAAGGAAAAAAAAAAAAAACGTATTGGTGCAACCTTTGTCTACACACAGCACTAGACTAAATCAATGAGCCCAGACACACAGCTGTGTCTACATACAAAAATTGGCTGCATTTAGTGGTGCACAAAAAAAGTAGGACACAGCTGAGCCCCAAGTCTTATTTTTCAACTTTAACAAACCAAGCTAACAAAGTAACAGCCCTTATTGATATAGGTAAAACCTTTATCAAAAAGGAAAGAAACCGGGCAGAGCTTGGCAGGCTGATGTCATTACGCATGCCAAAGGACAGCATTCTGTAGCATATGCGGTTTTATTTCTTTCATTATTCCAAGTACCCAGTGTTTTGGATCTATTAAATTTTAATTTACACTGGTTTATGTAACGTACATGTAAGATTTGAGCAGCTGAGATGTGATCTGTAGAAATATGACAATGTAGGTTTAGCTTCAGCCCATGTTATAATAATATAAAGATGTGCTCAGAATTAAGTCAGAGACATATGGTCACCAATTAGCATCTGAAGGGACAGAGCATCCTCTAGGCTGGAGGTGACACGTAGATGTCAATAAGACTTGTCACCTTCTGGAAATCTGGAAGGAAAAGGCTCTAGACAGTTCGGCTTCATGACACAGCGGGAGACAAGAGGTGGTTCTGATGTATCTGGGAGCCTTGACGTATATACACAGATCAAAGGAATATATTTAATCTGTCATAAAAGCTAAATTCTTAGTTGCAGAGAGATGAAAATACTTCCTTCTGATTGGACACACTGTAGGCTACATCTGCATGTAAAACTGTATTTGTAGCCTATGTAGAATCCCAGAGAAATGCAGAAACCGGGTATATGGCGCCTGATTGCGACAGCTGAACAGTGACTGGTACTGTCGCGATCAGACTGATGCGATGGTGTCGGAATTCAATCTCTGACTTGGTGATTCAAACCAATCCTGGTCCAATCGACTTTGGGCATTTCAGTACCCAGAATGTCCGGTGGCCAGGTACTGGAACACCCCCCAGAGTTGATTGGCCAAGATCTAATGTCCAGCCTACGTCCATATTCCCATAAATTGAGGACCTGAGATATGGAAGGTGTGATGCGTATGGAGCCAGTTCTATTGACTGGCGGATTACAGACTTTCTCTGACTTGCTCCAGTCGCAGGATAACGCTTGGTAAAAGTTTTATTTCTGTTTTTATTCCCTTTTATTTTATAGTCAATAGCCAATTGTGTGTCTTCTTGTATTTTTTGTATTTTCTGTAACTTTTTATACTTTGTACATATTTTATGCACTGCCCACTTTCAGGATATTAAATCATAAAATGAATAAGTGACTTCTGGGTACTTAAGCTCGGGCTCATATCTCCGGAGAGATTGTATTGTATTGCAGTGTCTTTATATGCTTGGTCAAGTTCATTGCCAATCTGTATGCAATTGCACTGCGTGTTGGCAGATTGCATGCAGATTGTAAAGGGAACAGATCTGCCAGACGGAGATCTGTGTGTGTGTGGTGGCCCAGCAGACCAGTCTGCGGATAAACCTGTTGGGTGGTGGCAAGCTACCGTTTGTGGTGTGTCTGGTGTGAGGGTGTGTGGACAGTGGAAGAGTGATTAACACCGGGGTTCTAGCTTGTAGGATAGCTGGAGGAATCCTAGAAGGGTGTGCTGATTGCTATACTGCTCCTCAACCCTTAGTGTGCACCAGATTGTATATAAGATTCATATCTGCCTGTGTGTGTGGTCAGCAAGCTGGATTGGAGTGGAGTCTCCCTCTAGTGGTGGCCAGAGGTAATGCGGGCTGTGAAAGTATATCACGGCCGGTCTTATATATGTATATATATTCAGATTACACCCCCCTTATTCCCTCTTACACCAAGTCACAGCCGCACGTGCGCACCTCGGTTAGCTAGTCGCTGTGTGGGCGTGTGGGTGGGATCCGTGACAGTTTACACTGAGTTTTGTCCTATCCTTGCTTATGAATTGTGCAGGACATTACAGAAGAGGCATAAGTTTTACTGTACTAGCGCAAGTGTTTACCCTCATGGTGGACATTACATTGGATCCACAGGCTTCCATGCACACTTTTGACATTTGATCATGAGGTCTTACGTTTCTGGTAGGAGGCGTGCATTCTAGTGGTGGAAACACTGAAGTGGCCATGTGTGATCAATCTTCATTGGACCTTTTTTATGCCATATCATATTCACATCTTGTGCAACATTAAGTTTGGTTTGATGGTCTACATCATTTACAGTTCACTGTGTAATATTTTAGTCTTTTCATTGGTTTTGCACTGTTCTCACCTATACTCTAGCCTTACAGCAGCACATCAGACATAGCCCACCCACTACTGCTTCTGATTACTGAATTACATTGATTGTGTCATCAGGGGGCTAGCTCTCAGAAAAACTGAACTGTTACGCCACAGAGACATGGGTAGCTTCAGACTGCTTTCTGTATGTGATTTATCATTCAGAACAGACTTGTTATATACTGTCTAAAGGATAACCTTGCCAGAGTCTAGGTCCATTTTAAGGTCTGGAACAGTAAGGGTTCTTTTGAGAAAAATGAAAGACGAATATACCAGAGAGGAATAAGACAAGGATAAAATGAGAGTAGAGAATACCAAGAGATGTAAGCATTTGGAATAGCATTGCTTACTCGCTCATGTTGAGGGTCAAACTAATGTCTTCATCTTTGGAGAAAAGCAGGATTAGAAAGTGGTAACGAGTTTGCCCTTGTTTAATGGGAGGATCCAGACTTATCTGCAGGAGGAAAAATAGATGAATTGATAATAATCAATAAATTTCAATCTACATGAGCGTGCTACCATTTTTAAATGAACACCACCACAATAAACATTGTAAAAATGGTGGAGACCATCTAAAATCCCTCCCTGCCCTACTTAGCCAACAGAGATCAAAGCTGGAAAAATTTTGCAGTTGCAAAAACAACCATGGCTCTTGGAATTTAAAAAGTAGCAGGGCAGAAAAAAATCCAAGAGCCTGGCAGATTTAAGAACCAATTGTATGAAGAAGATCTCTTACACTGGCAAATGAGGAGAGGTAACACAAAATGTGGTTGTTGTGCGTCTTTACCATCTCCATAAACTGCAAATGCAGTGGACAGGCGTGTACATGTGCTGCAGCTGATGCCTTGCTTCATGCCAAAAATTGATCCCCATTCAACTGAATGGACCCTCCCCAGAACCACTGTAAAACACGTGGTTGCCACATGGAATTCATGGGGTTAAAGTAGGTAGCGAGGAGACAACATGACAACATATCGCCTATCAAATATCTCTAAAAAGTTGATAGCTTTTAAAAGGCATGGCAGTGAAAGTTGCATCTGCCTGTACAAATAAAAAACAAAAAAAAAAAAAACTATAAAAATACACTGAATTTAATGCAGTCATATTAAAATATAATTTTCTTATCAAAATAGTTAAGGTACGCTCTGTCTCGAGATCATCCTCTTAACTACCTGTTCAGCACCACTCAAACTGGAAGATGTCAGGACAGCATTAGAAGCCAATGAGGCTCTGATGAAAGCACATATGCCAACAAGCAACATGCTGACTGGAGGACAGCAGAGGGATGACTGCCCAGTCACAGCCATAGCTGCAGTACAGTAGAGAATGACCTGGTCACTAACCTGTCTGTGCTGTATGGAAGATCTTAGCACTGGCTACACAAATTTAAACATCCCTTGGCAAGTGTGTGTTTTTTTTTTATTCAATTATCTAGTTGGTGATTTTTACCTTACAGTTCAGCTATAAAGAATAAATATAGGGTTTTAAAAGTCTTCGGTTTGCCCAGAGTTGTTCTTTAGTTTTTACAAAAATTTACAATAATTTCTTTATTTGTATTATCAATGCATCTTACCACAAAGAACATCTGTCTTTGGTCTTTGTGCGGAAGAAGGAAGAGACGTAGAACTGTTGTGTATGGAATTTTATAGTCAAATGTTTTTCCATGCAGATGCAGAAAGGTGGGGTAGATTCGGATGTCATAACGACCACGTGGAGTAAGGCACTGCAGTTCTCGGAATATACAAACTGCATCACCTGTCGCTTGAATCACATCTGCCTTGGACAACACATTCTGAGCGAATGCCTTAAACAAAAAGAATGATTAAAGACTTCAGAAAATGTTTTATCTGCATAACATCTTGTAGATCTACATGGAAGTCATACCAAAAATGACTATAGCTGTATCTTTTTTTTTTTTAAACCTAACGGAATCCCCCATCGGCATATCTGAGGTGGATGAAGGAATCCTCTGCAATTGTATTCTGACAGCAGCTGTCAGAATACATTAATCAGCGCTGATGAAACAAAAATTTTCCAACATTATAATTTAAAAAAAAAAAAAAAAACACTCCAAAAAAATCTTTAGTACTCTTTTAGCAATCAGGTGACCATTGTCTCAGTCTTCCACTGTGTTCTTATCCAAAACTGGGTGGGAAGAAGGGGTGTTGTTAAAAACCAAAAACAAAACAAAACTAACAAAAAAGTAACCATTGTTTAGGATAGGACCACAATGCAGACAATGTTGCTGGGTATATGAGTGGACAGGCTCCACATAAGAACTCTGCAGATATCTTCACAGGCATATTAAAGCATTGTTACCCATAAGCAAAATAGTATCCTGGGACTGCTGTATCTGGCAGGATATGAAATAAGAAAATTAGAGGAATGTGATGAATAAGTGGTCCCTAAACCGGAAGTGTTTCTGGTGACTACCCTTCCTCTAAAACCACTTTTGTCTACTCTGCAGAATCACGATGGTGAGAATTCCAGTGATCCACATAGCACCAAACTGGCCCTAGCAGATGTGGTTTTCTGACCTGATAAATCTTGTCTATAGATCTACCAAACTGACCACATCTCCTATCACAAGGTCTGAGTTACCAGTCTGTTTCATAGTCACTAACTTTAACGAAATGGCTGTTGAAGACCAGGGGTCTCTCCTTTTTGGTAATACCTAGGGTTGCACTGATGTCAATACCGAGCATTTGTACGAGTATCAGTACTCGTGCAAATGCTCTGATACTAAAAAATGATACCTTTAGGTTTGGTTCTTTCAGCTGTTAGCGGAATTCCCCCACTGACAGGTGAAATGTCAACAATAGAATGCCAGCAATTATGTGTTAAGGAGGGGACCACCTGTCCTTAACATCCAATGACATTTCAGCTGTCAGCGGGATTCCCCTGCTGACAGCTGAAATGTAAAAAAAAAGAATGCTGGCAATAGTTTTCCTCGATCCTTTGAACCTCTGGTAGCTCCTGTCCTATGTGAGGCAGAGAGCACTGTAATGACCTGCCACGATGCAGACAGCCTGCAGCTCCCTCCTCTCTCTGCTCCTCTTTGTAAGGTTGTGGTCCTCGTAGGCGTCAGCTCTAAAAGGCAAGTGTTTGAACTTTATCGTAAAAAAAAAAATGGATCTGATCTTACACAATAAGGTAGTGTTCAGAACAGTCTGTCTTCCTGAGGTGGTATCGGCCTTCCCCCATAAATGAAAATTGTTCTGTTTCACTCCATCTCCAGTACAATGTAAATAAATTTCCCTACACTGCCTAGATGTAGTTTGTGCTATGCGGATTTATTGCTTAATCACTGCTTCCATTAGAAAGAATGATTCTCTTTGCCACTACTTTTAGTTGACGTAAAGGGGAACCAGCTTCGCAATCCACCATTTCTTAGCTGACGTAAAGGGGAACCAGCTTCGCAATCCACCATTTCTATGTGGCATAGACAGATCAGGTAACTGCTTTGAGCTTAAGATTCTGCAGGCAGTTCTTTGTCACTTTTTTTTTTTTTTTTTATGTGCAGAGGTTGTTGAGCAGTGGCATCAAATAACTTGCTCCACCCACCCGCCTAGCTATCCAACAACAGAAATCAACCAAGAGGGTTTTTTTAGTGCGAATGTCTTGCCCCCTCTCCTCCTCAGCCTTCACAGATCCTGCATAACACCATCACCTCCTCCTCTTAAGCTGCCAGACAGAAATCTGTTGTGCTGTCTCCCGATCTCTGCTGTCTAGTTTACACAGAGCCCAGAGATGCCGCTTGCTATGTAGGGAAAAAGAGAGAGTGGGAACAGTCAGCTTGTGCTGTGAATGACTGAAGCTGGAGAAAAGGACTTTCATTTACAAAAACACAATCTTACAATAGCACACAGTGGTTACTACACTTGTATGAGAAAACCAATAGTACCTGGCTTGTATTATCAGATTGTGTTTTTGTAAATTAAAGCCCTTTTCTTCTGCTGGGATCATGCACAACAGGTCATTAAAGCCAGAGATCAAGAAACAGTGTGGTATCCCTTGTGACAGAGAATCCGGATGATCAGCGAGGACCCACAGGGAGCCCACCAAGTCCTGGATGAGATACAAAAGCCACAACCTCCTGGGCCAGTACAGTGCAGTGAGAATCACTGGGATGCCCTCTACCTCGATCCTGCAGAGCAGCCAGTGAAGAAACTTCAGGGAAGGAAAGGCGTAGACCAGGTTGAACTGTCACCAGAGCATCTGGAGGATCCCTAGGAACTAGAAACAAAACCTCTTGGTTCAATAATGAATCTGGAAGCCAGGAGGTCTGTGTCTGGCATCTCATAACTGTGACAAAGGTCTAGAAAACAGCAAGGCAAAGAGACTATTCTCTGAAGTCCAAAAGCAGATGAATACGTCCACCTACCAAATTTCCATGCCTGGCATGTGCACGGCAGACAAGGCAGGAAGAAGGATTTTCCAATGCAGAAATCAGATCTGCCTCTCCATAGTCTGCAAGACTTCCAATTTCTTCTCGATGGTCAATGTAAGCCATCACTATAGCACAGTCTGACTGAATCCTGGTTGGGGACTTCATAGACAAGAGGTCCAGTGGTGAAAGAAAAACAAAACCGACAGATTCCAGTATGTTGCCCAGGACACAAACATCCTCCGACAACAAAGACCCTTGTACCAAAGAGTATCTAGAAGTCCTCTCCACTCTGATAGGTTGGCATCTGTGGTGAGCACGTTTCAAACCATTGAAAGGAAGGGTATTTTGAGCCAGAGTCAACTATTCAAGATTGAGTCAAGGTTGCTCAATATCCCACTGTTGAAGCAGGGAAATTTACAGGTCTAGGTAATACCCAAAGTTAGTGGACACGCCTCAGTAAAGATAATATAATATAACCTTTTTGTGATATATTAAAATAAAATTAAACCATAAAGTGTCCAATAAAGATCTCAAAAATCCCAAAAGGTGTCCAAAAAGTCCAAACAGTGTCCAAAAAGTCCCAAATTTCAAACTTTTTCATCCAATGAGAAGGATTGACTCTTATTTCATCCAGTAAGAACCTCAAAATAAATAAATAAATAAATACTCTAGTGCATTACCTTTATACAAAGGAATAATCACTTATTATTTCTTTGTATAAAGGTAATGCACTAGAGTATTTATTTATTTATTTATTTTGAGGTTCTTACTGGATGAAATAAGAGTCAATCCTTCTCACTGGATGAAAAAGTTTAGAAATTTGGGACTTTTTGGACACCTTTGGGATTTTTGAGATCTTTATTGGACACTTTATGGTTTATTTTATTTTAATATATCACAAAAAGGTTATATTATATTATTGCACTTTCTAGGGAGAAAGTATGACTTTTTGAGGGGGTTTGTAGTGGAGGAGGTTATATATTTATTAGGCCTCAGTAAAGGACAACACTGAGAAAAAAAATTTACATACTCCCAGCAAAAAGACAGGGAGTGTAGCAGCAACGGAGAGAAGGGAACATGCAAGAGACATTTCAGAGCTCCACAGAGACCATAAGTTCTAGGGAGAAGTAATGACCAACCTGGCAGATGCCTTGCAGGATTTAGTACCTAAAGGAAGGCGGTGAGACCCTCTAGCTCCCATATACAGTGGATATAAAAAGTTTACAAGCCCTGTTAAAATGTCAGGTTTATGTGATATAAAAAAATTAGACCAAGATAAATCATTTCAGAACTTTTTCCACCTTTAACATAACCTATAAACTGTACAACTCAGTTGAACAACAAACAAATCTTTTTGGTGGAGGGAAGTAAAAATAAAATAATAATGTTGCATAAGTGTGCACACCCTTAAACTAATACTTTGGTGAAGCACCTTTTGATGTGATTCCAGCACTCACTCTTTTTGGGTATGAGTCTATCAGCATGGCACATCTTGACTTGGCAATATTTGCCCACTCTTCCCTGCAAAAACACTTCAAATCTGTAAGATTGCAAGGGCATCTCCTGTGCACAGCCCTCTTCAGATCACCCCACAGATTTTCTATCGGATTCAGGTCTGGGCTCTGGCTTCTTAATCTTCTTCTGGTGAAACCATTTCTTTGTTGATTTGGATGTATGGTTTGGGTTTTTGTCATGCTGAAAGATCAAGTTCCCCTTTATGTTCAGCTTTCTAGCAGAAGTCTTAAGGTTTTGTGCCAATATTGACTGGTATTTGGAACTGTCCATAATTCCCTCTACCTTGACTAAGGCCTCAGTTCCAGCTGAAGAAAAACAGCCCCAAAGCATGATGCTGCCATCACCATGCATCTCTGTGGGTATGGTGTTCTTTTGATGATGTGCAGTGTTGTATTTGCACCAAATATACTGTATCTTTTGGAATTATGGCCAAAAGATTCAACCTTGGTTTCATCAGACCATAACACATTTTCCCACATGCTTTTAGGAGACTTCAGATGTGTTTTTGCAAAATGTATCCGGGCTTGGATGTTTTTTATTCATAAGAAAAGACTTCCGTCTTGCCACTCTACCCCATAGCCCAGACATATGAAGAACACGGGAGATTGTTGTCACAAGTAATACACAGCCAGTACTTGCCAGATATTTCTGCAGCTCCTTTAATGTTCCTGTATGCCTCTTGGCAGCCTCCCAAAACGAGTTTTCTTCTCGTCTTTCTCGTCTTTTCATCAATTTTGAAGGGACGTCCAGTTCTTGGTAATGTTAGTTGCGCGATATTTTCTCCACTTGATGACTGTCTTCACTGTATTCCTTGGTATATCTAATGCCCTGGAAATTTTTTTTACCCTTCTCTTGACTGATACCTATTAACAATGAGATCCCTCTGATGCTTTGGAAGCTCTCTGTGGACTATGGCTTTTGCTGTAGGATGTGACTAAGAATATGTTAGGAAGGATCTACAAGAACAGCTGAACTTTATTTGGGGTTAATCAGAGGCACTTTAAAATGATAGCAGGTGTGTACTGACTCCTATTTAACATGATTTTGAATGTAATTGCTTAATTCTGAACATCCCCAGTTATAAGAGGGTGTGCACACTTATGCAGCCACATTATTTTAGTTATTTAAGTGTACCCCCCCCCCCCCAAAAGTATTTATGTTTGTTTTTCAATTGTGTTGTACAGTTTTATAGGTCACATTAAATGTGGAAATAGTTCTGAAATTATTTATCTTTGTTTCATTTTTTTACATCACAGAAACCTGACATTTTAACAGGGGTGTGTAGACTTTTTTTATCCAGTATAGAATGGATGCTCCCCTAGTCATAATTGAAGGGGAGAGAAGCTGTGTCAGAAGAGAGTGAAAATCCCCCAATCCAGTGGAGACAGAGACCGGAATTTCAACCTGTGGCATTTGGATACAATATTTGAGACAAAAACAGAATCATGGCCTCAACCAGCAAGGTTAACTCACATCCCAACTGGAGTGCAGAAGGAGCTGACCAAGTAAGACTGGATCATCTGAGGCCTATATACAAAGAAGGGGTAAACGTCGTGACCAGGACACTGTAGGCCATCATACAAAAGCATGTGCAGTCACCAAAGGAGACTTGCATACCAACTGCAGAGAACAAGGTGTTAATGGCCGGCTGTGGCTAGGCCGTCAAACAAACAGTATAACAGTGAGATAGAAATTGTAAGGGCTGCCCACAGGCCAGCAGCAGAGTGGGAGACATTAAAGTTAGTTTGTGACCAAGGCACTTTAGGCCATCATACAAATAGAATGTAAGAGACTGTAAGCAGAATGGGTTACTGTTTTGTGACTAGGTCAACTTAGGCACAAACAGTGTGCGCAAGTGAGGCATAACAAGTTAGCATGACTCACAGACCAACTGTGAACCAGAAGATAAAGGCCAACCATGACTAGTCATCACCACTGGCTGCAAACAGTAATAGACCTTGTTCATGCCAAAACTGATGGAAACTAACATGCAGATTTCACTTGCAGAGACATCAGTTTACATCAGTTTTCATGCGAAAAAAAAAATCTGCAAGTGACACTAGTGTTGTGGTGTGAACAGGGCACATAGAGAACAATTGATTTCATTGTGCCCTTGGAAACGTGTGCAGAAAAACTGAGGTCTCCACACCATGGTGTAAACAAGCCCTAACAGTGGCACAAAACCAACAAGGATAATTCACAGACCAACTGCACAGTAGCAGAGATTAATGGCTGAGCATTACAAGGTCACCATAAGCCACTATACAAATGGAATACAAGTGAGACAGAACCAACACAGGCCACTCACAGAACAATTGCAGAGTGGTAGGGTTTAATGGTCATGCGGGTATAGGTCATCATAGGCTGCTGTACAAAAAGTTCAGCGAGATATTACCAACAAAATTACTCACAAACCCCTGAAGAACAGGAGGGTTTAATTGGCCATGCATGATTAGGTCACCACATGCTGCTGTACGCTATAAAGCAAGACATTACGAAGAAGGGTTATTCACAGACCACTGCAGAACTGGAGGGCCTAATGCCCACCTGGGGGTAGTTCCATCATAGGCCGCCTTACAAAAACAGTATACAGTGAAACATTACCAACAAGGGTTACCCACAGACCCCTGCAGAGCAAGAAAGGTAATGGTCATCAGTGACCAGGTCACCATAGGCCACTATACAAACAGTACAAAAGAAATTTACTAACAACGGTACTTGCAGACCCTCTGCAGAGAACAGGGCAGTTGCCAGGGTAGATGTCTAGGCAAAGAGCAAGAGGGGGCTTAGTATATGCATGCCAGAAAGAGTTGAGGTCCCTGCAAGGATGGGGATACCACCCGCGTGAGCTGTAGTCCATAAAAAGCACATGCAACACGTGCTCAGGTGCAAAAAAGTGCAATGTGTTTCAGAACACAGGGGTAAAAGAAGGGGGGTGAAATAGGGGAGATGCCTTAGCTACTCATCAGTGGTGGTCCCCGTGTAAGATATCTAGCGTAACCTAAACACATGTACTCCTGAGGAAGATCAGTCGAAGCACATTGAGTCTACATGTGGATCATATTGGACCCCAATATCTGTGTATATGTATGTAAGTAGCTAGGAACAACAGCAACTCAGCCACAAAATTGTAGGCTAATGACAGAGCAGAGTGCGCAGAAGTCGCCAACTGCCTACAGTCAATAGCTGAAGACCTCCAAACTTCATGTGACCTTTAGATGACCACAACAAAGCTTCATGGAAAGGGTTTCCACGGCTAAGCAGCTGTATCCAAGCCTTACATCACCAAGTGCAAAACAAAAGCGTGGGATGCAGTGGTGTAAAGCACGCCGCCACTGGACTCTAGAGCAGTGGAGATGTGTTCTCTGGAGCGATGAATCACACTTCTCTGTCTGGCATTACAATGGACATGTCTTGGTTTGGCACTTGCCAGAACGGTATTTGCCTGACTGCATTGTGTCAAGTGTAAAGTTTGGTGGAGGGGTGATTATGGTGTGGGGTTGTTTTTCAGGGGTTGGGCTTGGCCTCTTAGCTAAGGGAACTCTTAAGGTGTCAGCCTACCAAGACATTTTGAACAATTTCATGCTCCCATCTTTGTGGGATCAGTCTGGGGATGGTCCCTTCCTGTTCCAACATGACTGCATACCGTATACGGCCCGGCGGACCTTTTAATCCGGCCCGCTGAGCGTGATAAAAAAAAAAAAAAAAAAAAAACAAAAACAGCCAGGGCAGGCAAACATTGGCTGTCAGGATGTGTGTAGGCGGGGCTGCGTGCCGAACGTGAGGGGAGCTAGGCTCCTCTCACAGTCCGCCCTGAAGACCGGAACGGCGCGGGAACACGGCGAGAGGAACGCGCGGAGCAAAGGTAAGTAAATTGACACAAGGGGGACTTGGCTTACTACTTGGGGGGGAATAGTACTATGGGGGATGAATTACTATAGGGGGGATGAATTACTATAGGGGGGATGAATTACTATATGGGGGATGAATTACTATATGGGGGATGAATTACTATGGGGGATGAATTACTATGGGGAATGAATTACTATAGGGGGGATGAATTACTATAGGGGGGATGAATTACTATGCTTACTATGGGGGAATATTCATTCATCTACTCTTGGTCCGGCCCCCGGGTCCAATATATGAACCCATTGAGGCCCTCAAGTCAAAAAGTTTGCCCACCCCTGCTATAGACACTCCTAAACCTTGTGGACAGCCTTCCCAAAAGAGAGTTGGTAAGCCTTTTTAGGTGGGCCACGGGTGCTGAAGCGGTTATAGCTGCAAAGGGTGTGCCAACTCAATATTGAACCCTATGAACTAAGACTGATATGCCATTAAAGTTCAAGTGCGTGTAAAGGCAGGCGCCCCAATACTTTTGGCAACATTGTGTATGTAGTGTTTCTCTTTATATGTTCCTCTAAAAAAAAAAAAAAAAAAATCATACGGCTACACATGTGTATTGTTTATAGATTATGTCTAACCAGGTTTTGCATGATTCAGAGCCCATTTACACCCAACATAAATTTTTACTGAATTTATATTATCAGGATAATGTTGTGCTTTTGTTCCTTAGAAGTTTACCTCTACAGGGTCGCCACCATCATCCTGTGTTGGAGGAACATAAAAGCGAATTTCCATAAGAGAGACCTCAGAGTCATCATTTTGGTGGAATTCTAAAGTCACCTCATTCTTCCCGGTGGTGCACTGAGACACATTGCTGAGAGGCAGTTCGAAGGCTGGCTGTTCCCCAATATCAAAGGAGAGAAGCTGTCCTATAAGACATGGAACACAATAAGAGCATGACAGATCCTCCAAATTGCAATCTGTACATTTATTCTGTTAAATGTATAGATTTTTGGTCTTACCACTGTCTGTGCTGAGCATAAAGTTAAACAATTAGAACCAATCAAAAAGAAATCCTGCAGTGACTTTCAATAAAGAACAGAAAATACACAGTATTGCCGTTTACCAATCCTTACAGTGGTTCTATAGGCTGAAGGTTTTAGCATTCGCCACAAATATTTACCTGAGCCCGATCCAACGATGTGCACAAGAGCAGCAGCTCTCCCAGGTATCTGCCTCCTCATTGGCTCAGACACAGCAGCGGGAGCCATTGGCTCAGAGGCAGGCTCAGGAGCGAGCAAGCAGCTTGCTCTGGGGACACTTAGCAGGGGGAGGAGCCAGTAGCGCTGGAGGGGGACCTGCTCTGTGCAAAACAATTGAACCAGTAACTTTCCGCTAGGACTGCATCTATGTTAGGAAACTCCTCTCCTCCACAGGCAGTATTTAATATTTTCAACATAAATTAAAACAAAACCAGACAATAGAAATGCCACTCACAAAAAAAGCACCTTTCCTGGCACTAGGTGTATTCAACTTTGTGTATTATGAATGGGAATTAAGATGGCCGCCGCGTTCCAGCGAAGTACTTCCTGAAGACGATCTATTGGTCGAAACACATTGAGGGTTTATGATGCAACTTCCACTGACGTCACTTCCGGTATTTGGAACGCACGCTGGAACGCGGAGGCCATCTTAATTCCCATTCATAATACACAAAGCTGAATACACCTTAGTGCCAGGAAAGGCACTTTTATTGTGAGTGGCATTTCTATTGTTTGACCCCATATTAAACTTCTATACAGTTTTACACTACGGGATGTCTGGTTTTGTTTTAATTTATGCTGGAAATATGAAATACTGCCTTTGAAGGAGAAGATTTTACTAACATTGATGAAGTCCTAGTGGAAAGTTATTGGTCACTACCAGCAACCACGGTTAAAAGGGCAAAGGAATATCGGCCATCAGGACCGGATTGCATACTGGGATAGTCCGAAAAGCGAGTGATTTACCTAGAGATAGGTGGTCATGAAATGACGGTGAGTTTACAACTATGTGAAGCACAAGTGTGAACACAGTGAAGCACTTGTCATTTCAGCATGGAGTATCACCATTAAAGATACAGCACCATTGCATACTTAAGGTTTTATGTTTAGTAATTCACAATTAAGACCGCTGCTATATAGGTATCATATATAGTTCAATTCTTTTATATATATATTTAATTTTTTTTCCTAAGCGCAACAGCACCCCTTTTCTTTCAAAATAAATTTAAGCTTAGCACGAAAACATGTTACTTCGAATATTTATAAGAGTTTTACGACAATGTCTGGATTGGAGCCTTCAGCGTTTTTGGAAAAGTGGGAAAAGGATCTTGGAACAAAAATGATCGAGCAACAAAAAAAGAAAATGTTTAAGTTAGTACATGAGGCGATAAATATGAATGTTGTAGAAATGAATTATACATTTAAAGTTTGATGGTATATTACACCAACTGTCGCTCATAAAGACCGGAGACTTCACCTTTATGTTGGAGGGGATGTGGGAGTAAGGGAACAATGGCACACATATGGTGGCAGTGTCCTAAAATCTGGGAGTTTTGACAAATTATAATCCAGTGTATACAAGAAATACTGGGGGTTAATTTGCTGAATGTCCCTTGGCCTTGTCTATTTCATAAATCTGAGATTAAAGTGAAGGATTATAGGAATATGTTGGTATTGCACTTAATATGTCAGGGTCCTGTCCACGGCAGAAGTTCTGGAAGATCTGGCATTTCTGCCAGTACTCTACATGGCCGCAGAAGTACACATCAGCCTCAGTCTGGTGTCAGATGGCCTTTATAAGGAGGCTCATCACTTCCTCTAGTTGCTGGATGATCTCTAGCTCCCCGTGCCTTGTTCCTGTGATTCTGACTTGTGATTTTCCTGTTACCGACTCGGCTTGCTCCTGGACCTGTCTACTCTGATTTACCCGATCTGACCTCGGCTTGGCTTACGGATACTCACTCTCTTTCACTCCTCTGTGAATGACCTCGGCTATCCTATCTGACTACGACCGCTCTGATTCCCACCTGGTACCTGACCTTGGCTTGAACCGACTACCCAGTAAACATCCAAATCCCGGGAGAGCTTGCATACCACACACAGGCGCCTCCTGTCTGCAGACCTATCTCTGTGCACCAGCGGTGCTTCTGAGTGGACCACCAACCAGCACTCCTTCAGGAGACCTGTGCAACTTTGGGCCAGACTCCCGCTGTCCCACTCTCAGGGGAGTCCGAAACTTAGCCGCAAGGGAAGCCCTCTCTCTATTGGCCTCCATCACCAGGTACGTGATGTAATAAATGCGGCAAAAGGGCTGATCCCCCAATTTTGGCAGATTCAGGAGACTCCAAAAATTAAAGATTGGATAAAAAGAGTGGAGTACATATACAGGATGGAGAAACTATACCATATTGAAGAAGATAAAAGATAAGACGGATGGTTTTGAGGAGTAATAGAATGAGAAGATGAGAGAGAGAGAGACATAGTGAAAATAGATGAATAAACATGGGAGAAACAAGAAGTGGACGAAATATGAAAAAAATAGTTTGAACATACACGAGGAATGAAAGCATGGAGAATGGGGTTTTGGATTAAATTCTTTGTGAAAGTTTTTGTTATGTAATATTTTGAGATAAAGTGGTTTTGAACGGTTTATTATTTTTTTTTTAATTTCTAATAAAAATATAAAAAAAAATAAACAGACAAAAACAAAAAACCAGGGCCACAAGAGTGCAGAACGAGTCCAGTCCTGTGTCCCACAGCAGTACAGCTATTATTATTATTACATCGAGTTTATATAGCGCCAAAGGGTTTGCTCAGCGCTGTACTATAGAGGGGGGGACAATACATGAAACAGTACAGCAACAACAAACAGCACATGAGGGGGTTAGAGGGCCCTACTCTTTCGAGCTTACAATTTAGGAGGGAGGGGATAGTGGTACAGGAGGAAGTGGCTGTGGGGGATGGAGCGGTAGGAGGAATGAAGGAGAACGGCTGTTAGGTGAGGGTGGGGGTAGGCTTCCCTGAAGAGGTGGGTTTTCAGGGAGCGCCTGAAGGTGAGCAGGGAAGGTGACAGTCTGATGGATTGGGGTAGTAAGTTCCAGAGGATGGGGGAGGACCTGGAGAAGTCTTGCAGTCGTGCGTGGGAGGAGGAGACCAGGGAGCAAGATAGAAGGAGGTCCTGTGAAGAGCGAAGGGCACAGGTAGGGTGGTACTTGGGAATCAGGTTGGTGAGGTAGTTAGGGGCAGTGTTGTGAATGGCTTTGTAGGTCAGGGTTAGTAGTTTGAATTTGATGCGTTGGGCAATAGGGAGCCAGTGGAGGGATAGGCAGAGGGGGGTGGCAGAGGTGGAGCGGTTGGTGAGGTGGATGAGTCTAGCCGCTGAGTTCAGGATGGTCTGAAGCGGGGAGAGCCTGCACTGGGGTAGGCCAGTGAGGAGGGAGTTGCAGTAGTCAAGGCGTGAGATAATCAGGGAGTGTACGAGTAGTTTAGTGGTGTCTGGGGTAAGGAAGGAGCGTATCTTGGCGATGTTGTGAAGGTGGAGCCTGCATGTGTTTGTAAGTGATTTGACATGAGGTTGGAAGGAAAGGTTTGAGTCCAGAATGACGCCAAGGACTTTGGCTTGCGGGGTGGGATTGATGGTGGTGTTGTTGGTAGTGATGGATAGGATGGGGGGGCGCGGGGAGGGGGAAAGACGAGAAGCTCGGTTTTGGAGAGGTTACGCTTGAGGAAATGGAGCGTCATCCAGTCAGAGATGTTGTTTAGGAGGTGAGTGATGCGGGGCGGAGAATGTGGGGGTGAGGTGAGGGGTGGAGAGGTAAACTTGAGTGTCATCAGCGTAGAGGTGGTAGTTGAAGCCGTGGGAGTGTATGAGTTTGCCAAGGGAGGAGGTGTAGATGGAGAAGAGAAGGGTCCAAGGACAGAGCCCTGGGGGACCCCAACAGAGAGGAGGAGAGTTTTGGCTATACTTATGGTTTAACTGTAAATCCCAGATCTTGAGTACAGTACAGGATGTGTATTCATAGACCACGGGTTAATTGGAGACTGGACACCGGCATAAGCTTTTCAGGGATTGCCCCCCCTGTGCACCACTCAGTAGGACTTAAGTTTTGTAGCAAGCAATAAGTAGAAACAGAGCAAGGAGGAGGAACCTGTGTGCTGTACTGTTTTGCAAGATTTACAGGTAAGTCAAAATTCACATTATCCTTATTACAGTAAGTACAGTATCAGACCCAGGATGTGTAGTCATGGGCCATGGGATGTCCCCAAGCAAATTATGGGATGGACAACAATATAGCACTCTATGGCAAACTGGCTTACGACAAAAAGTCCAAAGTACTCAGAACGCTCAGATGGTAGCTTGAAGCAAGCATCAGCAGAGGCCTAGACATCTACCTGCTGAATCGTTAAGATATGAACAAAAGACCAGGTGGCAGCTTTTCAGTCCTGCAAAAAATGTATGTTTAATGGTGAAAGGCCCAAGAAACACCAACAGGTTGGTGGAGTGGGCCCAGGTAGGGAAGTGGGGACCCCATCCCTTGAAGGTTTAGGTCCTGGAAAGAAGTTGCCCGAGACACCTAGCTATGGTATAAGAGGAAGCAGGATGAACCTACTTAGGACTTTCAGGAAAGACAAAAAGGGAATCAGTTTTTCAGAAGGAAGATGTTACAACTACTCTGCAATATTTAGACAATGGAGTGAAATCTCATTTGTGTGCTTTGGGGCAGGACAGAGGGAAGGTAGGATAACAGAGCTAAAAGTAAGAGACCACCTTGGGAAGGAAGGAGGATCTGGATCTCAGGGCCATTTTCTCTCTATGTAAGAAAAGGAAAGGTCCTTTACAAGAAAGACTCAGAGATGCTTGACGGAGGTAATGGCCACCAAAAAGG